CGCTGATACGCACCTGTCCTCCCCGGGGTGTATGCACGTGGGCTGCGTCTCCGGCAACGAACACACGCCCCTCCCTGAACTTGTTGACCATACGGACACTGGGCCTGTTATATCGTCGTAGGTCGCATCCAGGTGAATCAAACAGTTGAAGCATACTCACCTGTAGTCGGTCTTGTGGACGATCTCGCCCAAGGGCAGGTCGTCACGTTCGCTCGCCAGCCGCAGAGCCTCCTTCACGGATTCGTCGCTTTCCAGGATCTTTTCCGGGTCGACATTGCCGGACAGCATGAACCAGAACTTCCCTTGACTTCCGTCGCACGAATGAGTAGGCTGAGTAAAACGATAATCAGTTTCATCGACGCGCGCGGATGGGTGACCTACTTCGTCGGCGGGCCATCTGTATACTTGAGCCACATGTGCCAGTGCTAGGGATCGGCGCCGATCAGTATTCGATATGGCCTAATAGATGTAAAGCCAGCCTCACATAGGGATCCAGTTCATCCAAGTACACCTCTCCTAGTACCGCTTTCTCCGGACTGGACTCTCCCTCGAACGAGAGCCCGCTCTGCTTACGCACCACACCTATCGAGTCGTCAACAGCAGAACATCCCGGGGACGCGTATACCCTTACTTCTGCCCCCATCCGCGCCGATGAGCCATCGGTAACTCTTCGTCTCGAGTACCTCCTCGCCGTCCACGGTTTTCTTGACAGTGACCTCGACGTGATCGTCGAACCGCTCAAGCGCGATGAGCTCCGTGTTCAGCTCCACCGAGCAGCCGTACTTCGCAAGATGCGATCGCAGCACAGCCTCGGTATGATGCTGCGGCACCTGAATGGGGTTGTTCTGTCGCATGCACACAACATCGATTTAGCTTCGCCAGTGGCTATGAGCATCCAGCCGCGAACGACGTACAAACGGCCGACTGGGCGTGGGGTCCTCCGGCATGACAAGATGCAGCGTCGTCAGCACCTCTTTCCCGCCCGGAAACTTGTAGAACTTGAGCGGCTGCAGGTCGATTCCCAAGGTCCGCATCTCCGGCAAGACACCCAGGAAGTGGAAGATCTCCTGTGTCCGGGGCTATCCAAAGATCTCAGTGACGGCGGAAGTGCAGCATGATGGTCGCCACAAATACCTGCAGGCCGAGACCACGCTGCTCCTTATGGAAGCTTGAGGCTTTGTTGATGATACGGACGGGGACGCCGCTCTTCGCGAGGATGAGAGCAAGGGTCAATCCCGCGGGGCCTGCTCCGGCCTGAAAAACAAAAATGAGGATATGGAGACGATGATCATGTTCAATGGCTTACAACAAGGACTGGGGCGACTTCTTCCTGAGACATCGTGTCGATCTATTCCTATTCGAGTACGTAGCAAAGGTAATGACGATTGTGGGAGGTGGGTTGTCGAAGACAGCACACCCCAGACGCACTTCGTTTTATACGGCGCACAGCGGCGTACAGCTCGACAACGCAACGTCTTGAAGTGTTAGCCCCTATAGGCCCGGATCGCACATGTCAGATATGTCAATTCCCTGATAGCTCCGCAGTAATAAAATCGCTACTCACTGACACCTGCTCTGACTTGGCTCTGACAGCGAGCGATCGGCGCTCAGCGGTACCGCTGATATCACTTACACCCTCCAGGCTGTTCCCCGTTTGGTTCGCCGTCACAAACGTTGGCGGTCGCGCTCCAAACTTCTGATCATGCATGGTGTGCCCCGAAGGAGCAATCCACAGTTGCCAAGGACTTAGCAATGATATTCCATGGCAGAGATCTGTCACGGTCTCTCGAGTTCATCGCCGAATCAACACTTCCTGAGTCACCTCAAGGCGTCAACAGCGGTCAATTTAAATCGCGAAGGCATCAGCAGCTTCTCTAGTACGTCCTTGAGTCAGTACTCACCAATGCAATCGACACGTCGCGTGAGTGTGAGAACCGTGCTGCCCATCACTGGCAATCAGCGACAACGCATCTCGAATCCCGAGTCGACGTCCAATACGATAGCCAACGTCCATGCTCCGCAGATGAATCACACGCGCTGTTGCAGAGCAGTTAGATGTTGCTCCGGTGTAAGTGGCAGGCACTAGCTCACGGCATCGCCGAACGAATTCGAGACGCTAGAGCAAGATCTGTTCCAGAGTGGTCTTGATGAAAGATCAATGTCACTGCTAAGTTACACGCCACTCACTATAGGCATCGATGACTCGACCTGAACTCTTCACGAACCTATCACGGTGGCCTTGGGGTGCTTGCTTGTACACCGTGGTGTTCTTCCTGTTTCACCGTGACAATCTTGACGTTGCCGGCAGAGATTGACGTGAGGGACTCGGGCTGAGGAGTAGGTCCGCCCCCACAACTTCGGAAGTTAAAGGGTGGGCATTGCAATCGAGGTGACTTGAAAGACGGAACTGACGTCGCTGTGCAATGCCGCACAGACTCGTCAGCCTTATGCCGGGAAAGAAGGCTGCCTTCTGTCTGATGCTGTGAACTAAGGGCGGCGCGCCGTAAACACGACGCAAGCAAGGGCACGGCACGACGAACCTGAGCCTGCACCCACATTCGCAACGCATCAGCGCCCAGCACCCTAATTGGCCTGCAACACCAAAAGTCCGAATAATGATACAAGCTTGCGATATGATACACCCAATAGATCACAACGTCTAAACCTACAAGCCGTGAGTAGTCCATCGTGGGCGCAATAGCAGCACAACGCGCGGCGTACCTCTATCCGTCAATACTCTGTCGAGTCCTGCAGTCGCCACCGGCGGAACGGGCCCCACCACCACATTGACCGCGGCCGCCCCGGATCCTGCGCTCCCCCCCTCCCCGGCTCACGCGCACCATCCACATCTCGCGGCCTACCTCTCCTGCGCACCCTTCTCCGTCCGTCCCTCCCCTCACCCTCGTCCTCGCCCTCACCACCTTTCCCCGCGCCGTCCATCTCGACCACGACGTGCTCCCGCCCGTCCATCTCCTCCATCTCGTACTCTTCCTCCGCCACGATCGTCTCCACGTCCGCATCCGCGTCGCGTGCGTCCACACGCCGCGCACCCGCGCCAAACTGGCCGAACCCCCACCCGCGGTCCCCGCCGGGCCCGTACACCTCGTTCACGCGCTCGACCCACTCCTCCGCCTGCGCCCGCGCCGCGGTGAGGTGCTCGTGGCGGAGGAACATCCAGAACGCCTTCGTATGCCGCAGGATCCACCCGCCCCTCGCCCCGCCCGACGCAGTTTGCGGCTGCACCTCCGGCGGCGGGGGCGGCGGCGTGCGGTCCGACGCCGTGTTCCTACGCGTGAGCCCCATCGCATGTGCCACCCCGCCGAGCAGCGTCCCCTCGCGCTCGCCGCGTGCACGCTTTTTCGCCCTCCCCGCGCGCTTGCGCTGCCGCTTCTCCTGCCTGCTCAGCAGTTCGTCCAGCTCCCCAACGCCCATGCCCGCGCCGACCCACCACCACCACCCAAAAAAGCTCTGCCAGAGGATCACGCTCCACATGAGCGGCTTCATCCACGAGAACTCGAACCGGGTGGGGATGTACACGAGCGAGATGACGGTCGAGATGGCCGCGAGGATGAGCGCGCCGACGCCGAACGCGGCCGTGCCGCCGTCCATGCGCCACGCGTTCTTGCGGTTCACGAGGAGCCCCCAGAGCGCGAGGGAGACGGTGAAAAGGAGCGAGAGCGTCGCGTTGCACACGTTTTGGATCGCGATCGCGGTGCGCGCGACCGCGAAGGTGTCGATGACGCGGATGAGCTGCATGACCGCGGATGTCGCGGCCAGGGGCCCGAGGAGCCAGAAGATGAGGCGCTTCTCGAGCTTGGAGGGGAAGAGCAGACCGAGGAACTGAATATGCGTGGCCTGGATGAGCAGCCCCGTAGCGGCCATCATGAAGAGCCACCCCATGAGCATTGCGGTCGACCAGCCCTCGCTCCCCGACGGTGGGAGGTCGACGGCGACGTAGTTGAGCATGTACGGCCAGGTCTTGCTCTCGTCGGAGACGGTCGACATGATGACGTGCAGCGAGGCAATGGCATTGGTGAGGAGCATGCACACGCCGGCAAACTGGAATGCGTAGTTGACCGGTGCGAGGCGGAAGTGGTACTGCGCGGTGAAGATGAGTTGCAGGAGGAGGACGGCCATGAGCGTGAGCACTATCCCGTTCACGAGGAGCTGGACAGGGAGCGAACGGGCGAAGACAGGTCGATACTGGAGTATGGGATCTATCTCGGACCTACGAGCAGTCAGGATGGCGTGTAGCAGCGGCAGACACTGAGGCGTACCCTCTGGTGACATTCGACGCCAGAACATATTTGGAGACCGATAGCAAGAGGACGAGGCGCCGCGAGCGTCCCATTGCTCGGGATGAGGGATCTGAGCTGAAGCCAAGCGCCGCTGGTATGTTTACAAGTCGTGTGGGGGCCGTGAGCAGAACGGGCAGAGCCTCGCGAAGGCCAGAGGGATGGGCGACGAGAGTGGGTGTCCGCTCGAGGAGCCAGCTAGGCGCTCGCTCATCCGTAGCGGCCAAGCCTGCCAAGACCTTCCAGAAATGGAGCGAGGCCACGATTACTAAGCATTCACGACTGAGTCAAGTTGCTGGATGTACAGTACTTACCTCCTACGAAAATTGAGGCCCCCTATGAGACCCGGGGGCCTGAGAGCCTGAAGGGTGTATACTGGAGCCACGAGCTACAGCGCATGAGGTGGAAGGGGGTGCGTCTTGATTCGAGCTCGAGGGGCACGCGCCAGTCTCTTGCCGTTCGACAGCCTGAGTGAGAGGATGAGGGAAGGGAAGAGGGGGATAATGTTGTCATGCACGAGAGCAGTTCAGCCTCGCCTTATATACAGCGGACAGAGTGGAGCTGCTCAGAAGCCGCGGCGGTGTTTCAATACGTGACAGGAAGAGCAAGGAGCGCAGAGTGAAGTACAGGACCTTCCTCATTCGGAAGGGCACCTTCCAGATCCGTCAAATACTTATCCGCCATTCAAAGTCATGTGGACAAGTACATGGGTAACGGCGTTGGAACGCTGTATATCAGGCCTCGGCACTGAGCAGGCAATCGGGATCGCGGGCAAGAATCTCTCCAGTTTGCGACCTGGCAAAGTCCCACCAGTGGTCGAGTGATCCCAAGAGCCAGCTCAGGCTGCGTACTATGCATGTCAGTGATCAATCGAGCTATTTTCGTTGTCGCCAGGTTACTCATCTTAGTAGACCCGCGCGCCGAAGGACTCAGCCAGTCTCGTCCCAGTGCGCGAGCTATTCGCGCCTCACAGCATCAGTGGGAGAACACTGGGCTCAAGCCAGTGATTGTGGCTGCGTGCTCTAAGTGTTGCTGGTACGCTTGAAGGCCAGATCCACTGTCCTGAAAATGCGTGTCTAGCGATATGGTGATGGCTGTCAGCTGAGCCTATCCTGCATAAAATATTGTTGCTTACAATGTTGTTCCAGGATATGCAGACGGAGTCGCCGTGCCTCTGTATGTGCTGCCACAGAGGTCAGTGCATTCCGGGTCTACGACGAGCCTGGCGGGGTGAGAAGGTGCGACAATGTGTTCTCTCTCGGACCGTCCGACTCTGACTTGGCTCGATCACTGCCTACTCAGGCACTGCATGGTATGGCTCTCGATTAGCGATCGCTCTGTCTGCCCAAAGACTTTCTCTACAGTACAGATGCACATCACTATATGATGTCACGGTGCTTGCGAGATAGATGTGCAATCGCCGAAGGCCAAGTCCGCGGGCGCGGTGACATCGGCACAGGCTCCGAGACGATGCCGCGTATCATCCACCCATGGGCCATAGAAACAGAGCAGGGTGACTCACACTACCTCTGGCTTCCTGGTCGTTGCGGCGTTCGTCATCACTCTAGTCGCCCCGCGGGATGCGGGAGGTCATCGTTCCGAGCCAGCGCTGGCTGCGGTCGTGGCGCGGTCGGAAGGCCTCCAGCACTGAGGGGGGTCTCTCGAGATGGGGGCGTAATGACGCGGTCTCCGAGACGAGTAGACAGATAGTATGTGGGAGGGCAGCTCAGCACACAGGAGGAAGCAAGTTAGATGTTGGCGGGGGATGAACGGCTCGTCGTCGAAATGGACGGCGTTGGCAAAACTGTGGTGGCCGGGTCGAGTGGCTGGGCTCAAGGAGGAGGTGCCCGATACGAGGTGGATAACAATGGGGCCGACTCGACTCTGTCTTGACAAGTCAACGGTACAGCGCCGGAATCGCTGGTGAGGGGGCTGCAGGCAGATCCCTAAGGACCGAGCACCGCAAGTGTTCAAGCTAGCTGTTCCCCAGGAGGTGACTGCAGGACGCGGCAGAGTGGGGATTGTAGAGGTGCGCGGCATGCTGTCACGTTCGTGCGCCTTTCCGCCTTCGCTCAGACTCCATCGACTCAGGTGGTCCCGAGCCATTCGGCGTTGAAAATCGGGGTGCTGGAGGGCAGGACGTAGAACGAGCGCAGCATACGCCATAGATTATGGTGAAGGCTCGTCGTTCGTGCCATATGCCAGTGCCCTAGTCAGCCGTCATGCTTACGGCCCAAAGCCTCGCTCGTTCACAGGTTCAAAGGGGAATTGCCCTTCTTACTCTCCGCATGACTCTCGGCACGCGTACGACCCTACTAGTTAGTACGTGTTTGGCACGACTCATGCTCGTAGGCCGACAGAATCTCCCGCTTCGTCTGGCGGTGTTCTGAAGGCCGTCATGGCGAGTCACGCGAAGCGTCTTTACTTCATTCCCAACAACACCACTCACGCGGCCTAGGAGTCATCGGCGTCGCAACGCTATCCAGCTATATCGCAGTGCTGTTGATCACCCCAGGCTATATAGAACATTTTGTGGTGCCGGGTGACCAATTGGTAGGCTAAAGGCCCTAGTCCAATTGGCGATGGCTCGGCATGTACCTGTCTATCGTTATGGTACTTCAATGTATTCTAAATCTTCCATTGCGTGCTACTTGAGTTCGGGGATAAGTAGAAGTGAAGGTCAGGGTCAACTTCGTCCGACGCCGCCGGAGGAGGAAAGGCGTCTTACGATCGGCTTTGGCTGCGGCACCGAAGGGACGTTCCCGAGGTATGACACGGCTCCGCTGAGAGGTTGCTAACTTTAAACAGCATATTCTGAGACGAAGCAACTGTTGACAATGACAGTGTCAGGGAAATGGCCTCGCTCATGACACACCAGCTATGCCACGATATGCGTCGTATGAGCTGTTGAAATCCTTCCGCCAATGGACTTCCGAGTTGGGAACTAGAGCGAGGGTGTTGCGAGCCGTGAATTGTTATGATTCAATTAATTTCCGGCCTCGCTATGGAACGTTTTCACAACCTCATGTACTATATACATCGAACTGAACCTCACAAATTATGTTGCTTGCCGATGCACGCCGGACCGTGACGTTGAGTGTCTTGAACACGAGCAAGAACCCCGAGAACCAACGGTGCTCCTGGCCGCTCGCGGAACCGTTCGCTTGCTAGAGCAAGTCATCGTCTACTTCCGCCGATCCAGGAGTCAGCTGCGGATCTGCCGGGCCTACAACCTCTGCGCCGCGAAGCCTGTGACGCCCGCCCGAGCCGTCGCATATATAGAGGTATTGTACAGTCGCTCCACTCGACAACCGGCATCGAGTCGGGGCTCATGCTACCGTCCGCAACTTGGACGCGCTCTATTTCTACACAATGCGACAAAAATCAACGGCCCATACCTGAGTGCTTCCTGTCTATCTCTGGTCATATGCTCACTTTTTGCCCAGGCTACAGTGGACCCTTGGGGAGCTGGCCTTCCGCAGCATATCCAAAGCACCGAATTCCGTGCCTGCGCCCCCGTAACCAACCTATGACTGGGTTGCGGTCCACGCATCACCGTCGCATCGACCGTCTGATTTAGTGTTTTCCCCGGTGTACGGTTAACGCGGTCTTCTAGGTGCCCACTTTTACTGCCTTCGGTCAGTCCTACGAGAATATCATAGCTTGGAGACTCAGCTGATCTATCACCAGGAGTCTGTGTTCTTGGTCACTGCGCCAGACCTTAAGCCTTCAGTTCCATGTGGCTTAGGGCAGACGACACCCGTAGAGTACGGATCCCCTCGTATGGAGTCACACATTCAAATTCTACGTTGCAAGGTGAGTCGCTACAGCACCCTGATCATTACACTCGTGATGGAAAACGAACCGACATCATCCGATGGGAGACCGCAGTGTTTCTGTGAACGCCTGGGGTGCCCGAATGACCATGTTGCCTGCTTAAGCAGGGACGTGAAACTCTCTCTGATATGAATATTTGTGGTATTTCGTGTTGTAATCATACAATCACTCACCTCCTTTCAATCACAGGGTCATTTTGTCATACAGATTCTCCTTGGGTTACGCATCTGTTCGCATATACCACAGTACCTACCCCTTCTGTTCCGTTGTCTTTCCGACTGTACGCAGTAGAAACCTGAAAAGATCTGGAAAGTATGCCACTCCGTTAGTCAACCTGAGGATACCAAATGAAGTACCAACTGTGAACGGATTCATCCAGCTTCTGCTTCGGTGACCAATACTAAGTTACTAATGAAGTTACTGTGCTCGGAGCCGCGACGTCGACAGTTCCGAGTCGGAACCGATCAAGAGCCGATCATACATTCCGGCTGTTGCCGATCACTCTGGAACGTCGAGCGCTTCGCTTCCGCCACATACGCGCGTGCGACTCGGGCATTCAATATTGACATTAATATTGTACCGACTAATCAGCGGGCACGTCTACCTCGGCGCGTATCCACAGGGCAATGTGCGACGATGATGTACAACTTCTTGTGGAAAGGCATTTTGATCTTTGCAATGTCCTCTTCAGCCGCCAGCACGACTTTTCCTCGTCAATGTACGATGTACTTACGGTGCAAGAACCACCACAACCGCTAATAACTGCACCTCTGGCTCGGATGGCGGTTTTGCCACATGAGAATTTATGACGTCCGCCCCATCTTCTCTCTTCTGAGCTTCATGGTTTCGCTCAACGAGCGATACGTTGCAGTACACTAGTGGCGAGCCTGAAGAAAATCTAGTAGTACTCAGCCGGATGTTTCGTATCCTGAAACCGTGACAACTTGCCTTGTTTCTCTGCCGTGATACACAAGTGTAGCCATCTTCCGCCTATACACCAATGGCTCTGAGTCGCCCAGCTCGCTTCACTTGGCGTACGTTATCGGCAGTACTTCTGTTACGGAGTGTAGGCTTCTTCAAGTTCAACATCGGTGCCTCCTCCGAATCCGACACCCCGTCTCCACTACCAAGATGAGTAGGCATGGCTCTGTGATGATTCCGGAAACTTGCCCGATAGCAAAGGTTTCCGACTTACGTGGACAGTTGAACAAGCTATACATATGTTTTGTACGGCGAGGCGTTGGCATACGTGAGGATGAGAATTGAAGCCCAAATCATAACATTGGCGGCCCCGGGGATACGAAGTTTCGTGACAAGACATTCAAGGTAACATTTACAGTAGGAGACCGACGAGCATATCATAGTCACTGCCTGCGGTTCTACGGATCAAAGTGTGCAGTCGTGCACTATCGAGCTGCGCCTTCTTTAACATAACGGCAAGAATGCTCGCAGCATTCGGCGTATGCAATGCGAAGACGTGAAGGTTCTCTAGAGTTGGTGAAAACCCGTCATCAAAAGCATCTGGCGAGATGAAGTCCTGCTTTGCAGCACGCGCGAACAGGTCACCCACGAGCCGCGCATCCACTGCCCTAGCGGAGACGACAGCGTATAACACAAGCATATCGACGAGGCGCCACCTGTGCCTCGACGAAAGTTTGCGACAATACGCCTCGCCCTCGTCCAGGTCCCGCACTTCGAAGAACCCCTTTAAGTTGTCGCTGAGCTGCAACTTGAGCTGCTCAGTCATTGGCGTCATGCGGAGGCGGTTGACATTGGGGGTATGAACGTCGAATATGGACAGCGCTCCGAGATCCGATTGAGGGGGCCCGAGTCTTCGTCGGATACCGGGACTCGGCTCCTCCGCGGTCGTAGAATTTCCCTCCGGTACAACTGTATGGGCAGCTCCCACACTTGCCTTGCGACAGTAGGTTTGCGATGACTCGGACTCTGCCGCAGCATACTCTATCGCGTACTTGGGACTGTCCATCGACTCTGAAGCCACGCTCGAGAGTACCCATGACGACAGGGCCTCCTGCTGCTGCTGATCCTTTGCAGGGATGTTTGCTGACTTGTCCGCTTCGAATGCTACTCCGCTGGCCTCGGTGGATGGGGATGGACCGCCCACCTCCACCTCCGAGCTCGATATCGTACGGATACTGGGAAGGGTGGGGGCTCGGACATCGGACCAGCCATCGGCATCGACATCCGACAGGTGGGAACCATGACCGCTGCATAGAAACTCACCACAGAACGCCTCAGATACGTGCGAGTAACCTGATTCTTCCCTTGCGGCGATTACTGTATCTTGCATGTGAGTAGTAGCAGCAGAATCAGAAACAGCAGTTTCATCGTCAGCTAGCCATTTGTGATCACGAAGATCAATGACGTCCTGTGTTCAAATTAGTTGCGACGCAGACTTTGAGGCGTGTAAATCTACCTGGAGCATAGTTCGCATACGCAGATTGACGTTCGGCTTGTTCATAAGCCCTCTCATACATGCGAAGTAGCCATCCATGTGACGACGGGCATTCGGCGTGTCGATTTGCAAGCCGACAGTGGTCAACAGTAAACACAGCCCCTCGATCTCCTCTTCTTCGGGGTCTTCGACGTTGGCCAGAAGTTCGTTGATGGACTTGTGCATGATATGCTCTGTAAGCATCTGCATCTTGAACAGCTCGCCCATGAACTTAATGAGGCCGAGACTCTGCCGCTGGTGTCCCGATGAGTCGTGGTGGTTCGCAACGGCGCTCGGCGTCCGCCATGGGCCCGCCGCCTCCGAACTCCGCGCGCCAGCTGCAGGGCCTTGGTCTTTCAAATCTCAATGGTCCGAGTGGCAGTTTCACCATGGGCAAGTTCGCGACGCCGGGCATCAAGACCAGCGAGGACCGTTTCAAACAGGCGAGTGTTGGCACGCAGTTCGGCGCACTACCATCTCCCATGGTCCGCCCGTCCAGTCAAGACGGTCCCAGCGCGATTGTCAGCAAGCGGGATGTCGACTGTGGAGAGGCGAACAGGGGTGGACCTGATCGCTCGTTGCACGGATTGTCATCGCTGCAGGCTGACGCTGTGCCACCCGAGTACCTCGTGCATCAATTGCATCTGACGAGCCTTGACGAGCAGCAGTACGAAGTCGACCTGCACTCGCTAGAGCTGCTTTCCAGCAAGGTCCGTGCGTTGCTCAACGGACTTACCATGGAATCCTTCGACTCGATCTCAGACCAAATCGTCGTGTGTGCAAACATGTTTAAGGATGAACATGACTGTCGATCGCTCAGCAAGATCGTCCGCCTTGTGTACGACACAGCAACCAATGATCTTACCTCGTCTGCGATGTATGCACTCCTGTGTCGCAGAATGATGGGCAAGATCAGCCCTGGGGTTCGGGATGAGGCCGTCAGGGACGCGGAGGGCAAGTCTATTGCGGGAGGACAGCTTTTCCATAGATTGCTGCTGAATCGGTGCAAGAAGCACTTCGAGCGCTGCTGGGCTGCACGCTCTACTATGGAGGAAGGCGACCAGGAAACCGCGGCGCAGCAGACAGCAAGGCACCCTGCTCAGATGGCTCGAGACCGATGGCATCGAGTGGCGGGAGGTTGTCAGGCTTGTCCTTGCAGATCTTCATAAACTGCACGAGGAAGTCACGGTCGTACCTAAGATCAAGTGTCAGTGATGCGTACATACACGCTGCAAAAGAGGGCTCTTACCTGAACTTGCCATGTTTGGCGTTCATGTTGAGCTCGACCTTGGGACCCTTGATACCCTCGGGGTACGACACGCTGCCAAGATCTTCAATGGTCCGCGCGGTGGCCAGGGCGGAAGGGAGGGGCTGGGCGACGGGTTGGCTGCGAGTAGAAGAAAGGTCGAGAGGGCCAGCACGCCGCTTCTTGGATGTCTCCCCCGCTGTCACAGCAGTGTCTATCCTGAAAATTCCCTTGTCCTGCGGCTGAGCCTTCTCCGCTTCCTTGCGAGCCTCCTCCTCCTGCTTCCGTCTCCGCTCCTCCTCTTCCCTTTCCTTCTCCTTCCGTGCACGATCCTCTTCAGCTTTCCTCCGCTCCTCGGCTTCCCTCTCCTTCTTCAGCTTCTCCTCTGCCTGCTGCTTGATCTTCTCCTCCGCCTGCTGCTTGACCTTCTTCTCCGCGTCCCTCTCCGTGCCGTCCGACGACGTGATCTTGGCCTTCGATGCCCGTGGCTGGAACGTCGGTGCGAGCGTATTTAGGCGGTTTCAAGGTCCAGCAGATGATGGTGTAGGTGGGGGCGAGGACACAGAGGACAGGGACGATGTATGCGTGTGTGGCGACGGGGTGGGATGTGGAGGATGGCCCGTGTTGGGCATGGCCGGCGCCATCGTCGGCGTGCCAGGGGCGTGCAGTTGATGAGGGGGATTGCGGGGCGACATTGACATACTAGGCTGGGGCGGACTAGGTAGGCCTTGCGGTTGTTGGTGAGGTGTGCCGACGTGCGGCTGCACCCACGGCGTGTAGGATATATAAGCTTCCGATGGCATGCCGGGGTATGGTCCATACTGAAGAACGAGGAAGCAAGTTACTCGGCGTATTCGTCAGCGAAAGGGATAGTGAGACTCACGTAGTAGCCGCCGTACCATCCTGGAGGAGGAACAGGCTGAGAAGTGGGTGGCATGCCTGCAGGGGGCTGCCCGCCATGCGGGGGACCCAGCCGCGGACTCGACATGCCCGCCGACACAGGCGTGGGCGCAGAGCCATCATTTGGTCGTCCATTCACGCCATTCATCTGCCCATTAGGCATCTGCCGCGGGAACACCGGGGAACGGGGTGGCCCGCTTTGAGGAGGTGCGCCATTCTGCTGAGGTCTTAGCTGCCCGCCGCCGTAATGGGGGTATGGGTGAGCGCCCATCTGAGACGGCTGTGCCTGGGCATGTGTCGGTAAGGGTGAGGCGTGCGGCAGAGGTGAGGGGTGGGTCGATGGAGAGGCAACGTCAGAAGGCGCCTGCGAAGGCACGCTAGATACGGGCGGCACGCTGCTCGGGTTGTTGAAAAGCTTCTTGACATCGAACTTGGGCTGGGTCGTGGTAGACGTAGGTTGTGTGGACGAGCCGGCTGACTTGCCATTCGGGGCAGAGGCGGATGGCGCTGGGACGGTGCCAAAAGAAGATACCGTCGCCGACTTGATTTCAGGGACTGAGGCAGGAGACGAAGAAATAGATGCAGAGACGTCGCTCATCGAACCGACTGTTACAGCAGACGCTGACACCTCATCAGTACCGTCACGAGAGACAATAGACAGTACTATACCTGACTTCACAACGTTCGTCAGGCTTCGTGCGCCTGCGACGCCGTCCTGAAATGCTACGTCCTTGACTGGATAAATCGGTCGCGGACGGCCCTGGCTCGGCGCGCCTATTGCGAAATGTGGCGAGGGGGCTGAGGCAGCCGACTGCGATGGGCCCTTGGCCCGAGCTGACTTGGACGGGAGCTGGGGCGATGGCTTGGATGCCGTTGGTGTCGAGGATTTGCTCATTCTGATTCTGACAAGTGCTACGGGAGTAAGTCAGGCACATCGGCGTCGCACGTAGAAAGCTGAGACTCCTCTGTGAACGAGTGGTTTTCCTTACACTAGACAGTGGGGTATTGGTGGACGAGGAAAGTCGATGTGGTGGGAAGCTGCGTTTCGCACACCGCACGTTCGACTGTCATATAACCACCCGGCTAGAACTTTATCAAACCGCAGTCAACGACGATACGTGGAGAATAACAGGTGGTGCAGGCCAGGCTTGCGCGTTGAGGTTGTGCACCTGGTCCTCGTGTTCATCTGACAGAAGGATCCTTTTCATTAGGAAGCTCAGAAGCTGACCCGCGCTCAGATCGTCAAAAGCCTCTGAGCAAAAAGCCCTGCTCTGACGGTCATCCACGTCTAAGACATGATCGCTGAGGATGCCTTCCAGTCGAATTTACTCACTGGTGGCAGCACGGATTACTGTAACGTTTCGACCATAGGTTCGCGGGGTGTGACCTGTGACCAACGAACTGGCGAAATCCCCAGTTCACAGGGCCTGGTGACCTGTGAACACAGAACTTGGATAGTTCGCCGGTGACCGCCTTTGCAAGCACTGCGTCGCAGGCCCGAAAGTGCATTTGTATACCTGTGACCGCCGACGGGAATACTGAGTTCGGACCCCTCTGTGACCTGTGACATATCAACTGAAACCCTAGTTCGAGGGAGGGTGCGACCTGTGACCGAACCTATGGTCGAAACGTTACAGTAGATGTACGTATTCCATTATATGTATGGTATGCATACCTGAAGCTGTGATTCTTCCATGCTGGAGTGTCCATGTCACATCGCTGCGAGTCCATACACATATGCACACATGTCGGCCCGGATCCTGGACAGAAGTGCTCAGTTGGTTTGATAGAGTTCGAGGCGTGGCATTGTTACATGCTGTGAGGGCCCTGGCGGCAGGCCTGACGAGTGTCTTCCGGGAGGCCTACAGATCCTTACATTGGTCTCTCAGTTTCTTTCTCTCGCTCGCGTACTCCGCCCACCCCCGGGCTTGTACATAGAGGTGCCTCTGCTGTCTTTCTCTCGCCGACTCCTCCGGTCGCCGACTTCCTCTAGAAACGAATAGTTGGCCACTCTCCGCGGCCGCTACAGGGCTCGCCCGCTGACCGCCTCCCACGCCTTCCTCGCGCTGGATCCGGAGTCGTTCCTCATTCAGAGACGGGGATAGCCACTTCCTGGGCGCGCGTGAGGACTGCGCAGCTCGACGGGCAACCCGGCGGCTACCTCGTGGGCCCTCGAGACTTCAAAGCCTCACAGACGTAAGCAGACGTAGTGTTTGTGGCGGCTGGCGTCCGATCCAGCTAGACATGCAATACCAGTATCCAGATGTAGTGAGATGGCAATTAGTTCTTGGGCAGCGTATAGGTGATACTTGGAGTGTTTTTCAAGTCCAAGCCCTGAGCCTTGCGAAGACCATAAGGTTGCGGTGAAGTTGCAGAAGTAGTCAACTCAAAAGGCTGCAGCCGCAGCGCGCTTCTGCGTGGCTTATGTAATGAAGTATTTTAATGTCTATGATATGTTCCACCTACGTTATACAGACGTTCCATGCCCTACGCAAAGCTGTCCGATCAATTTATCACTGTTCGTGGATTTATTCTCAAGCCGAGTCCGTCGTTCTTTGTCAAGCTGCGTGCCCTTCATCATGTTCGCCCGGCTCGGTCACGATGCTGAAGGATTCTATCGACTCGGAGGCTTCACCAACACGGATCTGCGCGTCGTCCTGGGACATCGATGGCGCAGCCGAGTCCGACGGATCCAACGTCGAGTGAGCCCGCGTCTCGTCACGCCGAGGCAGAGTGCGTGGAAGCAGGTTGAGCTTCGTGCGCCGCTGCGGCGGAGTCTCGGGACTGGCCTCGCGACTCGTTCGTGCGGTCGCAGTCTCTGTTGCGAGTCCAGGACCCTCCGTCGAGGTGATATTCGGGTCCCGCAGTGGCATTGATACGGAATCGCCCTTGCCCTCGTCCCTCGAAGATACACCCTACGGCCCAAATGTCAGTAGTCTATTTGGCTTGTTGAAGTGAGTCAAGGTCACCCACCGCGCGCGAACTAGTGTGGCCACCAAAAGACCGGCCACTGGCATCTGCAGCGCCTTGGGCACGATTACCAGCGCGTGGAGATCCGCCGCGCGATCTATTGGAGGTACGCCAGGATTGGGACGTGGTGTTGATCCAGGTGCCCCTCGGTGAGACGACTGAGTGAGGCGTGACATCCTGGTCAACAGGAGCCCACTCCCGTTCACGCAGTTCAATGACATTCTGTTGGGGGTTACTGTTAGCTGCGATAACCTTTGTTTGAGAAGACTTGCCTGGAGCATTGCTTGCATGCGGGGGCTGACGTTCGGGTTTCTCGTCAGCCCTCGAATTCGCTCGAAGTAGACATCCATGTGGAGACGGGCCTTCGGTATGTCAAGCAGCGCGCCGGCGGTGGTGAGAAGCATGCATAAGCTCTCAATTTCCTCCTCCTCGGGGTTATCTATGTTCCTTAGGAATTTCTTCACACACTCGTGCATAATACGCTCCGTAAGCACCTGCACGTTGAATAGCTCGCCCATGAACTTGATCAAACCAAGCCCCAGCCGCCTTGCTGTCCATCGCGCAGGGTAGTCCTCGTTCGTGCGTGGAGCTGTGTCGTGCGATTGGTCGTTCTCAGCGGTAGAATGGGCGGCCCAACCGCGCTCGAAGTCCTCCTGACACCGGTTCAGCAGGTATTTGCGGAAGAGCTGCCCGCCCGCTATAGGCCTGCCCCACGCATCCCTGATGCCATCATCCTGAACCTTAGAGCTGATCCCCTCCATCATCCGTCGGCACAGGAGTGCGTACACCTTTGACGAAGTGGGATTGCTGATCGCCGCATTGTACACGAGCCGAATGACCTGGATGAGCGAGCGACCATCCTCCTCGTGCTCTGACTTGTTCGCCCACGCAATGATCTCGTCTGAGACCGGCCCGGGGTCGAAGCGCTCCGTCGTGAGTACGTTCAGCAGCGCGTGGACGGTTCTGTCGACCCGCATTGGGCAGGCAGCTGCGATGATCTCTGTCGGAAGTCGCCTGCCCGCGCGAGGCTGGAGAGGCGCAACTAGCGGTTGGCTCGCGGACGGGGACTCTCCCTCGGGCGACCCGGCGGCCGCAGGTTCCACAGATAACGACGCGAATTGCTCCTCCATCGCGTCACGGATGTGCGTTCTCCTATACGAGCTCTAACAGAGCGATCGTAAATGTGGGTGACGACTTGGTCACGGTAGATGAAGGGGTGGCTTGGACGGACGGCGTCCGCAGCGAACTATGGATGGCACAAGTCAGCATGACGTGTTCACAGGCTCACAGCCTCTAGGGCTGCGCTGTCTTCATGTGATCAATCAGGAAGAGTTGGTTACGGCAGCTTTCAAATAACTTCGTTCCCTGAGCGCCTGATCGGGTCAATGAGGTCAACTCTGAAGTACTTACTATGCACGCTGCATCGCACCTCCGAAAACGATCCTGAGTACCTGCGACCAAAGTTGTCTCTTGCCCTATCGTACATTCAGATTTCCTCTCATATCGAGGGTATGCAACGGGTGCTAAGCAGGATATGAGGTTCGAAAGGCAGTAGGAATGACTGACGAACCAAGCATGAGGATACGTGAGCCTCGTTCCAACAAGCAAAGTGGTTTGTGGTGCGCGCTGAGCAACTTTGTTGAGGCCGATCAACGTATCGGGCCGGAATCTCGGCCACCCCGAGTGCTCGTCAAGCCCTGTCAAGCCGCATGAGCAGTTCAAGTCGCGGAGGAAACAAACGAAGCTCTGGATTGTGTATGACAGTGAGTGACCTATGGATGTTGTACATTGTGATGTAGGACAGCCAGCGCAGACGTGTGTGGAACGATAACAAGATGCGGATGATGCACGAGGACGAGCGAACCATAACCAGCGGGACGGGAACAGAGAATGAAGCAGAGGACGTACTACTGTTCTATGATAGCAGGCTGATTGACTTATCACTGTCCATAGATTTGCTCGCAAGCCTGGTCCGTCGCTCCTCGTCAAGCTGCGCACCCTTCATCATGTTCGCCATCAGGTCGAGTGCCTTCGGCGCGTCAACTACAATGTCGTCAAGGATGTCCGCGGTCGGCGTGAAGCCCTTCTCGAAGGTCTCCGGTGAACAGAGGTTGTTCGATACCGCCCGAGAGAAAAAGTCGGCAACGAGTCGCGCGTCACTGTCCTTCGACTCGATCGCAGAGGTTACGAGCTTGTCGACGAGCAGCCATTGGTGCTCTGAAGGAAGCTTGCTGAAGTACACCTCAGCCTCGCCCAGATCGCGGACGCTGAAGAACTCTTTTGAGTCCTCGACAACGCGGGTCTTCGCCTCCTCCTCAGACATTGATGGCGCAGTGGAGTCCGATGGTTCTGACATCGAGAGGTCCTGCGTCTCGTTGCGCTGAGGCAGGGTACGTGGGAGCAGGTTGAGCTTCCTGCGCTGGGGCGGAGCCTCGGGCGAGCCATCGGAGCCCAAGTCGACAGAAGCCTCGTGGTTTGGTCGCCAACTCGGTCGTGCGGTCGTAGCCTCTGCTCCGGGCTCTGGGTTCTCCGTCAACTTCGAGAACATATTCGATGATGCGGAGTCCTTATTCGCAAACACACCCGTAGGACCAAAGGTTATGGCGTTGGTTTTGCTGATCTTGCCGAAGTTAGACAGGTCGCCCGCCTTTGGGGGCACACGCGGAGGGGCATTGCCGGCAACGGACCAGCCATCGGGACCCAGGCCGACCTGCAACTGCGCACCACGGTGGCCGCCACGCCCGGAGCCGTTACGCGACATGCTTAGAGTGCGCTGGTAGTCCTTCTCCTTCGCAGCGGTCTCCTCCGCGGCTTGGGCATGGACAGCAGCGATTGTGGTGGGAGCAGCGGTCTGGATACGCGGTATCCACTTGCGTTCGCGCAACTCGATAACGTCCTATAAGGGAGGGGGTTAAACACAAGGACTGTTCTAACTTCAGGAATGCTTACGAGAAGCATGAACTGCATACGTGAGTTGACGTTCGGGTTCTTCGTCAGCTCCTTCATACGCGAAAAGTAGACATCCATGTGCGCGCGAGCCTTCGGCGTGTCGAGCAATTGCCCGACGGTCGTGAAGAGCACGCACACGCTCTCGATCTCTTCCTCCTCAGGGTTGTCGATGTTGCCCAGGAGCTTCTTGGCACATTCATGCATGATACGCTCCATCAGCATCTGCAGCTTGAACAGCTCACCGACGAACTTGATAAGCCCGAGACCCCGCCGCTTCGCCTTCTGCGCAGTGTAGTATTCTTCCGAGTACAGAGCGGTTTCGCCGGACTCGTCCTTCGCCGACGCAGCCGTGGCGTCAGTGCTTTCATTCGTGGCCCAACCGCGTTGGAACTCTTCCTGGCACCGGTTTAGGAGGTACTTGCGGAAGAGCTGACCACCCGCAACGGGTCTGCCCTCCACATTCTTGATACCCTTGTCCTGGATCTTCGGGCTGATCTGTTCCATCATCTTCCGGCACAGCCGCGCGTACATCTCTGACCACGTCGCCTCGTCCGTCGCATTCTCGAATATGAGCCGGATGACCTGGATGAGTGTCCGTCCGTCGCGCTCGTTCTCCGACTTGTTCGCCCACGCGATGATCTTGTCCGAGATCGAGTCGAAACGCTCCATGGTGAGTGCGTTCAGCAGAGCGCGGACGGCCCTTTCGACCTCAACTGGAGATGCAGCGATGATGCCTCCGTCGGCAGCTGCCTGTCCGTGCGAGGCTGGAGAGGTGCGACTGACGATGGGCTTGCGAAGGATGGCTTGTCCTTGGACGACCCAGCTGAAGTAGATCTATAGATATCGACGCGAATTGCTCCTCCATTGCGCCACAAAGAGAGATACTCCTGTCCTAGAGCGAGTCGTAGGAATGGTCAACGATTCAGAGAGGATTTGGACCTGGATGAATGGGAGCGAAACTGACGGCGATGTGACCCTGTTACAGCATTTGGAACTGCGCTCCCTCCTCGTGATCTGAGTCGTCTGGAAGATTTTGAAACTTCAGCTTTCTAAGAAATGAGCCAATGCCGTTCCTCATCGCTTGATGTGGTCAAACCAAGAGTCGCAGTATTCATTGTCACGCCTGCTGCCACACAGTGGATGAACCTACGGAAGTAGCGACCTACGTTGAACTTCTGGAACGGAGGCTTGAGGCTAAACCTTAGTCACATGACCGTGTGGCGGAGGCAGATTGCAGATTCGTAACTTGAGATTGTAGAGCAAACGACATACTAGTACGTAGACAATTCCTTCAGCCTTCGTGCCTCCAGGATATCCTTTCTGACAACAAGTGCGGCATACTGGCGGCATTTTGCTGCACCACGGCGTCCTCAGCGACGGCCGTACTAGGTTGACCACGGCTGTCACGACAAGGCCGATTCGACCGCGCAATGTCAACGGGAATGCTGGCCGAGAAGGATGTGATATTCGACCTATTCGGTGAGTCGAGTCCAAATGCTACTCAAGCTTGAGTTAAGCCCATAGCCTCTCACGACGCGGCGAGAGGGCGACGCCTTTTTCATATTGCCAGTCGCCGGAATTACCTCCGAATGTATACCTACCAAACACGGCTTCAACGTGACTAGTCGATGTTTGAGCTTCAGGAACATCTAGGCGACATGCCGATTCAACTCTTTGAAGCCGAGGCGTTGCGTGTCTTCTTTGGCAGGCTGCATCGTTGCTTCGGTGACCTCGACCAGCGATGTGAGCGTGGAGTGTCATAGCATCCGTCGTTCATCAATATTACGGCAGGCCGAAGACCACGTATCCCTGGCATGATGCTCTTGTGTGCCCAAAGTAGAGCTGACTCGAGCTGACTTGCCGGTGATACGCGTAAGCGAAGAAGTGACTGGTTGCTCAAATAGGCTGAGGATTGTCGCCTTGCCCCAACTTCTCTGTTCTGTCCAATATCGTTCGTGACCATTATCGAATGTCTACTCAAACCGCTGCGCCTGGTATTTTGGTTGTGTGTATTACTTTTTGGCCTTCATCATCTTGCCCATTGCTGATTGCCATCATACAGGTCGGCGCGGGACCTGCAGGGTTAACGCTTGCTCTGACCCTTGCCCGGAACGGCGTACCCGTCCGTATCATCGAGAAGCGAGGCGACTTTCACTTAGAGCAGCGTGGTGCCGGCATCCACCCACGCACCCTGGAAGTGTTCCACTTCCTAGGCATTCTCGACGATGTCTATGCCAAGGGCCGCCCACTGCCCCCGTTCCGTCAGTACAAGCTGCCCGGAGGTGTCGAGACGCTGAGCACGTTCTATATCATCGCTCCAGCGGAGAACACGCCCTCTATACCTCATGTATGTACCCCCAGATGCGAGAGTGAATCGCGCTTATTTGTTGCACACAGAACAACTCTTATGTGATTGGCCAGTGTCACACCGAGGCAATTCTGCGCTCCCACCTCGCCAAATACGGCGTCGTCGTCGAGCTTGCTACGGAGCTGCGCAGCTTCGAACAGTTCGAGGGTCATGTCAAGGCCGTCATAGTCAGGCACGAAGGTGACAAGGAAGTGGCCAGCACGGAGACCTATCGCTGGCTGGTCGGAGCGGACGGAGGACGCAGTAAGTACAGCCGGTTGTAACTTAACCTCTGCACATCTCTAAGTCGCGCTTTCTTTGATACAGGTGTCGTGAGGAAGCAACTTGGCCTGGCTTTCGAAGGTCAGGCCCTTCCTGACCGCCTAATTCTCGGAGAGCTCTACTTGGAGGGCTTAGACACAGAGGTAGGCGATCGATTGGGTTCTAATGCAGGACGCTGATCTGGCTCTTAGCACTGGCACCGGTGGAACGATTGGTCGAACACGTCCGCTGTCACGTTAGTCATCCATACAGGGCCTATGATATGAGTGCCATTCTGACATGCGATTCAGCGTGGCTACCCGCCCCACGGAGACCAAGGGGCTCTTCTGGTTCATAGTTACGGGGAACTTGAACTACGAAGAAGCCCTTTCGGGCTATGAAGCGCTCCTGAAAGTGATCAAAAAGAGCATCCAGCGCACGGACCTGGTCTTCGGTGATCTCGTGTACATGACCGAGTATAGGTGCGTGCTAGTAGTCTACGCCGAGGTACAGGTATTGATTGCATTCCAGGCCGAACGTGCGCATGGTGAATAAGTTAGGGGAGGGCCGCGCATTTTTGGCTGGAGGTAAGTCTATCTGTGAATGCCTGCTGTCTCGTCTGTACTGACATCCTCCCAAGACGCGGCTCACGTACACACTCCGCAAGGCGGACAGGCGAGTAACAAATCACCTAGCACCTTCCGTGATACTGACCCTGTCCTGGAACTGAACAGGGACTGAATACGAGTGTCCAGGATGCCGTAAGCAGCGAACTTTGCCTCCACGTACCGCGCCGCTAACCCTTTCATGTCGTAGTTCAACCTCGGATGGAAGCTGTCCTTGGTCGAGAAGGGCTACGCGCCAACAACACTCCTATCGACCTACTCCGAAGAGCGCCTGCCCGTCATCAAGCGTATGATCGACGAGACGAAGGCCATGTACAAAATCGTCATGAACGGCCCGCGCGACAAGCCTCGTGGTGCGGGCGAGGAGGACGCTGCCTGGCGTGGTCGGCAGGACCAGCTCAAGCAACTCGGGATCAACTATCGCTGGAGCTCCGTCCTCGTCGATGAGATCCACGCCGTGGACACGGAGGAGGCGAAGAAGGAGACCGTCGACGCGTATGGAGCCCTCGGCGGCGACGGTCTTCACGCGGGTGACAGGGCCCCTGACGCCCCTGCGTTGGTTCACCTCAAGGCCGGCGATTCCGACACTCGCTCGACGTCCCTGTTTGATATCTTCGGCCCAACGCATCACACCATCCTGCTTTTCTGCAGTGATGAGCCCGCAACGGAGGCTGTGCTCGAGGCCTTGAGGTCGTACCCCCGCGAGCAGGTCCATGTCTTGGTCATCCATCCTAAAGACGCGTCGGCTGCGTCTGTTACGGGTGGCGCGGATTTAGTCTTGCAAGACAGCGAGGGACATGCTTACTCGGCATACGGTGTGACGGACGGACGACCTCTAGGTGTCATTGTCAGACCTGACGGAGTAATTGGAGGAATGGTCCTTGGGGTGGGAATGAAGGAATACTTCAGCAAGGTTTTCACTCCTACTACCAACTAAGCTTCCTTGTATCGCAATTGATAGACAGTTAGTATGGGCAGGTAGTTCAAACTGCAATACAGTATAAGTTGGCGTGATATTAGTCCATTCGTGAGAGCCCCTTGCTGCAATTCACATGCTTAGTATACGGTGAAGGGATCCTGAATCAAGACAAACCGCAATAACCGAATTTACAATATTTTACTGGCCTAGGCATCGCACTTCCATGGACCATGCATACTGGACGGTACGAGGGTGTACGAACTTGAGTGGCAGATCTTGACGCCGACGGCAAGTTCCGGATTTGGATCTGAGATCAGGGCGTCCTTGCCTCGTGTTTGCCTTGAGGGAAGGTGCTGTTGCACGGCTGCCTGAGCTTGCGATCGTCTCCCCGCACATTGCGCCCCTCTACACAGGTCTTGCCGACTAACGCTTTATTCAGGATCGTTCTTGTCGTAACCTCTGGGCTTACCTATTGCTGCAGTGTAGCTGGAACGGTTGGTCTGGAGGCCGATGTGAGACTACTGTGGGCTGCCGACTTTACAGATCCAGACGGGGTGTTGATACGCGGAACAGTCCCGAGCGTGCCATCCGATAACATTGTGCATGACTCGCCTGATGCGGTCTGCACTGTGCAACGAGGCAAATGGGAGCAGGGGGCGTGTAGCGTCGGCTAGGGCTACTTCAGGACCTCTTTGTCCACTGCTCTCATCCTGCATTCTCTGTGAACTCACATAACTCGTCCCAAACTCGTCCACCGACGTCAGCCATCTTCAGACTTTACGACCGCATTCACACTGGTGAGCCACTACATGACTGTCTATGTTCGCCTGGATTGACGGGTCTTGCAGAACATGGACATCGATATGCACTTGACGCAACTCTTGAGCAACCTGACGCTCGATGGTAGTGGGTGGGGCGGCGCGAGCATTGTGAGCCTCATCTGTTTGTGCGAAACGTATACGAGTGCCGACAGCTTGTTGTTTGGAGAAAGGCAAGCGAAGAGCACCAACCGACGTCACTAACGGCCGATCGTCAAGACGCGACCATGTCCGACACATCCGACACAGAAGACTCGACTTACCAGGTGCGTCCTGCTCCTGCGCCTCCTACAACTCGCTCACAAGCAACGTGCGCAGCCGAGAAACCCGTCGGCATCCTCAAACTGCACAAAGACCGCCGACGAGCCGCCGCCCTGCGGCTGCGCGCTGCTGCAGTGGCTCCGAGGCCAGCTGCAGGAGGGGCAGTACGCAACCACGGGCGGCGACTACCTCGAGATCATCTTCACGCACCGCGAGGCGTTCCATGCCTTCCCGGACGGCCACCGCACGTGCGCCATCGGCTTCAGTGATATCGCCATGGACCTTGAGCGGCGGGAGATGAGGCCGGATCGGGAGAGCGACCCGGAGGCGGCTGCAGCGTTCAGGCATGAGGCCTGGGTGATCGCGAGTAGCGGTATTTGGTCGCAACCGACTATATGAGGTTGGCGTGTGGGCGCGGGCGTGGTATTATGGCGCAGGTCGCCTTTGCTGTGGTGCGCTGCTCAGTCGATTGGTGGCTCTTGTGCTCATGCTGAGTGCTCGACGTGCCTCAACGCAGGATCCTTCGTCTCATGCGGACACTTTGGCCTTGGATATGTAGCGAATATGATTTATGCTCACCAGGTATCTTCGGCGTTATATAATGTGTAGTCCTTTCATCCAAGCATTGCTATGGTCTCTGCTTCCGCCATGCCTCGCACGTGATCATATGGGTGTATATGGGTGCTGCGGCGATTCCGCTCAACCACTAATAACTGTCTTCCACACGCAGTCCGCAGAGTTCGAGTGCCCTTGGACCGAGAAGCTCTGTGGACAAAAGGTCGACACTGCTTGGTATAGATACACGAGGTCCCTCACCGTTCCTTCCATTCGATGCTCCACCATATTGTCTCGCACTGCCCCATAGAAGGCTCTGCGATACCCTTGGCTTTCACAGATGTGACTCTGTACATTTCTTCCTGCCGAGTAGCCATGATGTTACACAGTTACAGTGCGTGTTTGAACCGCACGAGGGACCAGCGGTCCTAGGAGAGCGGGGGAGGTGTCCCGATTTGGGATGTTCGGGCGCGCCGAGCGCTCTGCCTGCGGAGCGAAGCATCAGCTTCTCTTGCTTGGCTCCGGTCACTTCGCTCAGGCGCTCGCGTCGACTTGCTCGGTTGATAGGACATTTCGCCGCCTTTCGGCTCGTTGTGACTCTTGTCTGACGATTGCAGTGAAGACAGACACAGGGTGGCCTATCTGCTGCGACTGAGGATGTGTCTGTAGCATAGCGAGGCTTGCGACGAGGCGGCGGTGCGAAGGTGTTACAGCTGCCAATTCTTGTACACAAGAACTCTTTCTTCTCCATCTTGGCGGAGCTCGAGCAGCCGACCTTCGCGGATCTGACAATCGACCGGAGTAGCGCTGATGCGTCTAGCGGCTGTGTCCCACGTCAAACATATATACCTTGGCCGCCACTGACCACAGCGGACGTGTGCCCATCTACTTACGACACTAATCATGGCCCGCGATCTTCATGGTGAGTGATATCTATGTTGCTCAGAACTGTAGAAACTCAAGATGCTGACAACGCCACTCTAGGAAAGTCATTCTTGAGGGAGTCGAGGCGGATGACAGAGGAGCCTCGTCCACTGAACTCTGCCAGTTCTCCTTTCCTGCTGATCGACCCTGCCGTTCTCCGTACTCTTACGACCTCGAAGAGCACCACAGATATTCGCCACTCATCAGACTACAGTCCCGCACAGAATGGTGCTCCGGGGCAGGACGGTGTCCATATGCAAACAGGCATGCAGCCTGTGCGGAACTGTGAGGCCCTTCGTTCCTTCGAAACGCTGTCTTCCTGTCATTCACCGACGCTCCTGTACACAGGGACTCAAACCGACCAGGATGAGACAGATGAGGAAAACCGGAAGAACGCCATGAAGGAACTTATGAAGTCGTGGATGGATCGGCTGCAGCTGATCAGTGTCATCGTACGGTGCTTAACCTTGACCTTGGCACGCGTGCTGACGACATGCTAGACTACCTTCTTTGCCGCGACAGAGACGCAGTTACTGGTCATCACTACGCCGGCTGAGGATAATACACCCGAATCGCGAGTTCGGTCCACCGCAAATGCGATTTTAGCTGGCGCTCTTGTGATCCATTTGTGTGCAGGTATGGATCCGTCCAGCCGTCGCATATTCAGGCGCTCATAGGCGGACCTCTATAGCGATCATATCGTTCCTCGCAGCTTTCTTCCTAGTGCGCTACCGCCTCAAAGAGGCAGCCAAGGAAGAGATCAAGATCGAGACCGGCATCACGCCTACATCGTCCAAATCGGCGCTCAAGACTGGCATCTGGACGGCGAATCCACATCTGGAGGAGATGGGTCCGTTCCGTCGCGGAGGGCCGCCGACGCGCCTGCTGGAGCACCTGCATACGTTGTGCATGTGGCTGGCTCTCGTGGGCTTTGCGCTTGCATTGGCGGGGGCACTGTGCTACACGTGGGCACGTCTGTCTCGGAGCGCGAGCATCTTCGCCAGTGTGTGTATGGCGGTGTCCTGGCTAGCGGCTCTAGGGGCGGTTTTCATTGCGCTCTGACACATGGTGAAGGCTACGTACCCCACAGAGACGCTTCTCATGACATGCGACGAACGGCACTCACAGATCTTCCCAACATCATTGACCACTTGCATACGTTAACGCGTGCTTACGACCAGCTTCATGTATCTATAACACCCATCTCTTGTGCTTCCTTCATTTCAGTGGATTACGCATCTGCTATCATATTATTCTATCACTCCCAATACCATAGTCATCGGTGATAATACTCCACGAGTCCTGCAGGAGTCTCTGACTCAGATCCACTGATGCCTAGTACTTACTGTAGGGTTGATACCTTCCTTGATTGACGGCCGTTGCATGGTTCTTACCTTGTGTGGATCGCAGGTCTACCGGCCGCTGTTTCTTGCTCCATGTACTTGGATTATTCACATACGGCACGTTTCTTGATTCGAGTCGCCAAATGACCAAGTAGTACCAAGTAGTAGAGAAACGATACATGTACACTGTACAGTATGTACCAATAATGGAGACACGTGATTATACGTGGATGTGGGCGTATATGGACGTCTCCTTAATTGTTTACCAGTGCGGCCGTCGCTCCTATGCTAGACTATGACAGAGGCCAATAGCAACTTCAACTGCCACCGTATCATAGTACGTTCCGTTCCTCAACGCATTGGTAAATGTCACGTTGATATTGACTAGTATGAAACGAACCGCAAATTCGCAATGATGCTTGTCATGATCAGTAACACAACATTTGACATGCTAAGTGTACAGCTCTCCGAGTCCGGACCTGCGTTCGAGGCTGGTTTTCCGCTGAACCCTGGTCAGTACCTCATGCATCAGTGGCACTGACAATAGCGGCACACAAGCCTGATGCACGGATCCGGGTGTGCTGTGGCCTGCATCATCATCTGACGCGTCCATTTAGGGAAACCTGATATATGTTGCCGCCGTCCAGTGGCTCGTGAGCGGCGCGCCGCCATAATTCGACGTTTCTGTCCATCCTCGGGTCGAAGGCGCTGCATTCCGCCGAGGCGGCGTGATGAAGTGGCGTCCGCTTCGCTCCGGAGCATGCAAGAATGATCCCGGTGCCCATATTAGTGCTTCTGTTCCATGCTATAGCTGCTGATCTGAACAGTGGTCGTTGACCACACGACCGCAAGACCGCTAGACGTCGGTGGAGGCTCCGAAGCGGTGGAGAGCCGTCATGGACTCGAAGGAGCTGTCAGCCACCGGCACCAACTTGAACGTCAACCTGCGCTCATAAAGCCTGAGTCGGGGTCGCTCTGCGCCCCGCGCTGCGACCACTGGCAGTGAGTCGGACGCAACGTTGCAGCATAGAGGCCTCTGCAGTCCTAGGTTCGTACCGAGGCTACTACCGCTACGATCCAGTATGCCCGGGCCACACCAAGGAGATGGTGAGTACCACAGTTTCCTGCGACGGCGCAATGCTGTGCAAGCGTTCCTCCGAGTCGGGATCGGAGGCAGCTCCGCGATGGAGTCGGGCGACGCTCACCTAATAAAACTTTAGTGAACAGGACCGCTCCAATGGTGCGCGACGGTGGCTACGCTCCAGAGAAGGAATCCAAGCCTAAGAGACAAAGTATGCAATGTTCTCTCCGTTTCCACTAGTCGTGTTTCCTTTTCCACTGAGACATGATGCTGCAGTGACGCAAGACCGTGAGGACCAGTGTCAGCTGAATGAGAAACAACGCAAAGCAGCTGAAAACGATATTGTCCAATCTTGGGAGGCACGGCTACAGCTCATCAGTGTGATTGTGCGTGGGCTCGTTGATACTAAGTAGGTTGGCCGTTCAGAAATTCGGTCTTTCTAGACAACCTTCTTTGCGAGTCTAGAGGCACAACTGCTAGGTTCCGTTACACCAGCTCGGGATCAGCCGACAACTCGTCTTCAAATCGCTGCGTGCACCGTACTGGCCGGTGCATTCACTGTCCATTTGAGCGCAGGTAAGTCGTTCGTGCGACCATGGGCACATCTCAGCTCACGCTGGTGTTATGAAAATAGCTATCCTCGCCTTTCTTGCCTCGTTCTTGCTCATAGGATACCGCGTCAAGGAAGCCACTGAGGAAGAGTGGCAAGCAGAAGCAAGACCCTCCTTAGAGTCCGGGCGCTCGTCCAACATGCTACGCGGAGGTCTCTGGACGACCAGTCCACACTTGGAGCAGTGCGGGCCTTTCCGCTCCGCCAGTGGCCCGCCGACGCATCTCATACAACACTGCCATACTCTGTGCATGTGGTTCTCCATCATAGGATTCATGCTTGCGCTAGCAGGGGGACTCTGCTACGCCTGGGCGCGCTTGCCACAGAGCGCTAGCATCGTTGCTTCGGTTTCTCTGGGGATATGTTGGACTGCCGGCGCCGGCGCAGTGGCCTTGGTATTGTAAATCGTGGAATATGCTTACGAATTTCATGTCCGAGAAACGATGCGACGATCTTCAGTGCAGCTTGAAGGTCCCGTTCGTCAGGGTAGTCACACAGTCCAGGTATGTTACACCTAAAGTACAAGCGGACTGCGACTGCGACAGAAGTGGTATGATACTTGGACTTGAGGGAATAGCGCACGTGGAGTCTACAGCTTGCTGTCCTGGAACGTCGCGCCTACAAGAGGTTGATCTGCAATCGTGTTAGTCCAGGTCTAGCTCTCGGACGTGGACGAAGTGCTCACAGGTGTTGTGGAAGAGGGTGTCTTGCGGCGTCAGGACGACATGCGAGGACAGCGCACTGGCGTCGACCATCTCGGGAACCAGCTCGTCGATAGTGCGCGCACCCAGCAGACGCATGTTCATCTCGAACTCGTCCTGGTGCCCAGTCAATTTGACATTACACGGTCATACAAAGAGGTCACATACCCGGAAGATCTGGATGGCCTTCTCAACGCCGTCCTGGCCATAGCTGCAGAACGCGTAGAGAAATGGCCGGCCGACACCGACAGCCTTCGCCCCAAGCGCGAGGGCCTTGAGCACGTCGCTTGCGCGGCGCACACCGCCGTCGACGAAGATCTCGAAGTTAGGATTCGGGAAGTATCCGCGCGCCCGCAGAGCAGGCACGACTTCAACGAGGACCTCAAGACCGGAGCGCGCCGTGTCGAGCTGACGGCCGCCGTGGTTTGAGAGGACGATGCCCTGGACGCCAGCCTCGTATGCCAAGATAGCGTCTTCGGCGGTCGCTATACCCTTGAGGATAATGGGCACTGCCAAGCCAACGTCAGCTAGCACCCTAGAACGCCCACCAGAGAAAGACACTTGCTCTTCGTGATGCTCCTGAACCATGGGATGTCCTTCCACGAGAGGCTCGGATCGATGAAAGACTGCAGGACGCCCGGATTAGCGCCATGCTTATTCGGGAGCGGGAAGACTCACGCTGATAGCGCGGGCAACGCCCTCGTCTTTCTTGATGTCAGACTGTCCGTCTTGCACCTTCGCGACACCGTCGTCGCCGACGAACTTCATGCGCATGTCCTTCTCCCGCCGGCCGAGCTGCGGGGCGTCGACGGTGATGAAGAGCCCCTTGACGCCGCGCGCCTCCGCGTGCTGGACGTACTTCCTCGTAATCTCCCGGTCTCTATTCACGTACCTGCACCAACGCGTCGGAGGTTTGGAAATGTGGTTCAGCCAGCAAGCGACTTACAGCTGAAGGAATAGCGTCTGATCTGGCTTGGTGGCGTCCACTATTTCATCAAACGAGCACGATGCTAGTGTAGCGACCTGAGAGATAGAATCGCGTTATTCAGTTTTCATCAGTCCATTCAGTGCGGATACTACCATTTGGATGACACCATGATTTTGGGCCGCCCGTGTAAGACAGAGTTCGCCCTCGGGATGTCCGAGCTTGCCTAGTGCGGTTGCCGACTGTACAGGATAGTGGATTAGGATGGGTTCCACAACGCAAGCAACATTGTCGGTACTCACGATGTACACGGGAAGTGACGACTTCTGACCAAGGATCGTCGTCGACCAGTCGACACTGGTGACGTCACGGAGGATGCGAGGTCTAAACCACACCCTGCCAGTTACTGTGAGCGGCCTGACCCTCGCCCCAATTATGACGCAACTCACCGTTGGTATGCCATGCGGTTCTCGCGCAAGGTGATTTCATCGTCGGATGCGGAGGAATAGTAGGCCTACACATGATCAGCGTCGGTGGTGCCGCCGCCACATCGCTGTCAAGGTTGAGACGCACCCATGCCTTGTCTGAGACGACCTTCCTTGCTACCGTCTGTCGCAGCGGTACGTCAGTAGCCATTCCAAGGGCATCTGATAGATGAGACGGACCTCGAAGTCATGCAAGTTGATGATGGTGTCGAGAGGAGGTCTCGCTTCCACGTACTTCTGACGCTGCTTCTCTTCGTCGGTGATTTCCTTGACGACTTTTGCGACAGTACTAGCGTCGATGGCACCCAAGCTAGGGGAAGATGGTCGCGAGTGGTGTTGCCGCGTTGAGCGCGCGACTTACTGTTTGTCCACCGACAGGTTGGTGGTAATTGCATCCGGTGGATGGATTGGTTCGTAGGCCTCACTACAATGGCAGCCATCCAATTCAGTAAACGGTGCCAATAGCTGTACGACTAGATGAGCTCACGTCGCATCTTTCCCGGCGTACTTCAAGATGATTGCTTGACCACCAGGATGTTCTGATGAACATCTGTCAGTATCTCGCTCTGGTATAGTATTCGGAGATCGTCGCTCATACCAGGTAGGAACTCCGTGACATCGTACACCTTCCCTGCAGGGAACTTGAGTCACACGAACGGCCGATAGGAGGAAATACTGCTTACCATGCACAATGATCCAGCAGCTCTCCCTGCTGGCATGTTCGGCGACTTCAGGACCAGTAAGGACACGAATATCAGACATGGTTAGCCGCGCGTGCGATAAGCAACCACAGGACGGTGCGCTATGTGGGTACGCCGCCTCCAAGGCGGCCGTCTCTTTTCAACGCGGGCATAGCGGGATGTGCGGAGTCCGCGTCGGTTAAGGCCCACAGGTGCACCCAGCACCTAATAGAGTGGAGAACTGCAGGCGGGGTTGTGGACGTAGCCAGGTGGGAGGAGGCGGAGAGGGTACTGAGCCCATGGGGTCGGTGATAGATCGGGAGGGCGTTTGTGAAGTCGACGAGGTTCGAAGGTGGCCACATCGGACAGCCTATGCCTCCCCGGCGGCGGCAAGGCCACAGCTTGTCTCCGTTGGAGGCGGACCGTCGGTCTAGCCGTTGTGCCGCGGACCCGGCTAGAGGCAGGCGAATGCCATCGGCATACCTTGGAAGACATGTCAGGGGAGGTGCCAGTGTCATGACACGCTTCTTGAGAATATATCTGGCTCTAAGCTTACCGTAATTCTATGTGGACAGCCGAGCAACGCAACTCGGACGTACAACACAGTGCGATGTACGTAGGACCACTTGCGGCCCGTGTGCAGTGTGCTGGATGGTAGTCAGGAAGTTGCGCAATGGCATAGAGTCTGGCCTTGCGCGAGGCAAGCTGGGGTTTCGACGTTCCTTATTCGGTTTGATGTCCGCGCCTGTCTTGTCCTAAAAGCCATTCTTCGTTGCTGAATGAAGAAATTGACTCGAAGCCAAGAATCATGAAAGGCACGGTTGAGGAACTTCTGCTTCAACGGATCGCAACTATACGAGTCCGATATTCCTCGGCGACTGAGCGCCTTGCCAAATGCAACCAAGATGCCTTGATCTTTGCGACGCTTGCCAATTCGCGGCCTTGGCTAAACGTGGTGGATTGGCCCCAAATGATTGTTCACTACATTCAGGTACAAGAACGAGGTCTGGCACCCGTTCTTCCCCGAGCTCATGCGGCGCCCACACTGGCATCTTGCACATTCAGTCTTCCTGTCTTCTGGAAGTGGACTCTTTGTCAGACGAGTGGGAATGGAATGACAGAGCGCGATTGAAACATACACCAAGTCACGCAATCTCCTCTTTAACGCCGTAAAGCTCGTGTGCCCGTCTCAGCTTGACTGGCGGGATGAGAATGGCAAGACGCACCGCAACATATCGTCTTGATGGAATGTATTGCGTTCGAGGCTGTTGTGGAGATTGTCCGTACTATCGGTGCGACAGACGGCGGCGGAGGTTTTCTGCTTGTGCAAATACAGTCAGGCATATTGGACGATTGCTGAGACGTACGACGATGGATCGTGATAGGAAAACGTCTTAGTGCACTGCTAGTGAAATCACGCCGCTCTAGATGTTTGTCGCAAGATATGCCTTATCATTGCGGCTAGAGAGGCCAGACAGACAGACTCGGAATTCGACGCAGACAACACGCATGCCGCATCACGGTCACTTTCCAGCCACACGGTTGCCACTTGCAGCCACTCCGCGGCGCGCCACCGGTGGCTGCGGCAATCGGACTCGCTCCGACTCGGCGGAGTGCCAGTGGTACTTCACTTCTGAGAATCTTGCATCGTGCTGCTGCGTTGTCAAAAATTGAAGTTGAAGCTTGCTTGAAGGCAATGTGCGTTTAGCCTGAATGAGAGGTATGTCTTGGCAATATGGACTTGTGATGTTGCGAGCATCTGAATTGACAGCACGGAAGGCGAACAGAAAGAGGCTTGCAGTCACACGCCAGAGAGGAACACATAGGCCAAACATAGGGCTATGATATCAGAGACGACCTTTGTCCTTTTTGGACGAGCTGTGCTTGGCTGCCAAGTGCGAAAGCCGCGAAGGATGGCAGCACCGAGGAGTGTAGATCCTCGACCTGTACGTACTCCAAATCTTCGCCACCGCCAAGAATGCTCAAGCATCGAACAGGGAATCCGGGATGCATGAAAACACGCTTAAGCGACACGCCTCCTCGGACGACCGTGACAGACCGGAAGCACGAGCTGTGCAGCTGCTCTGTCCGAGCGATCTCAGCTTCCCGTTCAGTCTATCCCCACTCTAACTCCCCGCGCTCCGTGCAACCGTTCTGCATGGCGCTCAGGAAATCGGACACCGTATTACCTCCGGCGGTCTTCTTCGTGGCGTTGGCTTCTGGTCTCGGCGCGGATTGTCTGCGCTGTTAGTGACGGTATCCGCGCTTCGTGATACGTTTTTGGTCGGTGGGGTGGAATGCAGACATGTCAGACCGCTCGGCGGGTGCTTTCCTGAGAGGATAAAAGCGAGCTGGTTTGCCAAGCTGCATCCCAACCCACAGCGTTCTACAACACCAGGGCACTCACACAGTCCCTCCTGCAACATCCCCTCCGATTATCCTTATAACCCTCTCTTCTTTGTAACATGCCTGGATTCGAGTTCACCCGGGAGTCTGAGCAGACTCAGTTCGCCATCCAGACGCAACCCGTCCCCTCTGCGGACACCCTCCCTCGTCTGAGCCCGCGTCCCCCATCAGCGGCGATGCGCCCCGCCATGGCGTCTACTACAACCCCGCCTCGACCCGAAGAACTACTTGGAGGGTCCTCTTTCTTCCAACCCCGCTACTCGTCTCCGCCAGATGCTTGCCCGCCCGGGTATCGTGGTAAGTATGTTCTAGACAGCTAGCAGTCACATTATCTCACGAGCGATTACAGGTTGCACCTGGTATCTGCGATGGTATCAGCGCTCGCTGCGCTATCGAGGCTGGCTTTGAATGCTTGTACCAGAGGTCGGTCTAATTCATCATGCGTTTGAAAGATCAATGCTCATCTGTTATTGACAGCGGTGCTGCCACGACAGCATCGAGGCTGGGCATGCCCGACGTTGCCATCGCCACGCTGAACGATTTCGTCCAGGTAAATCCTGCACACGACCTCATTCGAACTCATTCTCACACTGTTTATAGAGCGCAGAAATGGTCTGCGGCATCAACCCCTCCATGCCGGTCATTGCTGATGCGGACACCGGGTAAGCGTCATCGTCGCCATGTCATCTCGAAACACGTCTGACATTTTACTCAGGTTCGGTGGCCCGGCCATGGTCGCACGCACACTGACGAAGTACGCAAAGGCGGGAGTTGCCGGCCTCCACATCGAGGATCAGGTCCAGACCAAGCGCTGCGGCCACCTCATGGGCAAGCAGGTCGTCTCCCGGGAGGAGTTCCTCCAGCGCATCCGCGCCGCGGTCATCGCCCGCGACTCCATTCCCGGCGGCTCCGACTTCGTCATCATCGGTCGCACGGATTCTGCGCAGGTGCTCGGCATGGAGGAGGCGGTCACGCGTCTGAAGCTCGCGGCTGACGCGGGTGCCGACGTGTGCTTCATCGAGGGCGTGAAGACGGCAGACCTCCTCACGTCGACGATCAAGGCTCTCGCGCCCAAGCCTGTCCTCGTCAACGTCATTTCCGGTGGTCTCACGCCGTCCTTCACCTGCCAGGAGGCTGAGGCGCTGGGTGCGAAGATCATCAGTGAGTCTTCCCTCCACGGCGATCCACGCATATAGCTGACGATCTCGCGAACAGTCTTCTCCCTCGTCTCCTGCGTCGCCATGGTGCACGCCGTACGGGAGGCGATGCACCTGCTCAAGAAGACGGGCACCGACTTCTCGTCTGCGCGGGGCATGGACCCGAAGGAGTTCTTCAAGGTCGTCGGCCTCGACGAGGTGATCGAGCTCGATGCCCAGGCGGGTGGAATAGCCTTCGCACAGGTATAACTTTACGTCGCTTTCTTTGCATCAGAAGGATCGGGGGCTTGGACGGCCTGGCAGGCCTACATCTTGTACCGTATACACTCCCGCATATTATCTCTACATGTTGTACATTTTGCTGCCACACACATAGACGTCACTATCCCATTGTAGATTTATGCGCATATGCATGTCGTTTCTCAAGTGATCCTGCACGGTGGGAACAAAATACTTCGGTGACTAGCAGTAGGTAGTCTTATCACAGGGTGCGGAAACGTTCCTAGCTCGCGTTGACTATGATCATAATACCAGGGATTACTGTACGACTTGTAAGTCCTTTCTCACTGACCACCGCCACCTCCGCCACCGCGAGTCGCCGAGATCACTGAAAACGGAACGCAATCGACAGCCACCTCCCCTCTCGATCGGGACTCGGCTTGCATCCGAACTACCAATCTCAACTCGCCCATTTGCAGCTCACTGATACTTACCCCTGGCGCACCCAACCTGGCTTTCACCCTCTCCGTCGTCGGGAGCGTCTTCACCGGCGGCAAGCCGATAGCCACAACTGAACACGCGGGTCGTTTTCGGGGATCCGGACTCGGGAGTCCGTCCATGCATGGGCATCCTGCGGAGTCACGGGCCGCCGGTCAGGCGTGAGCAGAAGTGCGGGGTAGGATGGGGTTGGACGTCCGTCACTCACCATATTATCCTCGTCACATTCTCGGACTTCCGTGTCATCCCTGTCGGTGCTACGACCACCTCCCATTTGTACTAGATTCGACTGGTTAGCGCAAGATGAGCAAGAGCCTGTCGGGAAAGGAGGTCGCAGCGCATAGCACGGCGGAGAGTTGCTGGATCATCGTGCATGGTGAGTTTTGATTCGGAACTGTTGTGTTGAGATGCGGGGCATCGCGGGGTATGTAAATGCAATAGCAGTCGTGGTCTGTTGTCTGCACGAAAGATTGGCAGTGCCGTCCAACCATGCCCCGAACGTCAAGCGAACTACTGAGCACGAGACTAACACTTCTGTTTGTGTAGGCAAGGTGTACGACGTTACAGAGTTCCTGCCAGGTCAGTACTTCCTGCTTCCTGAGCTCCCTTGTTGATCTCAATTTCCTCTGTAGAGCACCCAGGTAAACTCCAACGGACGTCGGGGAAAGCAACCGCGGCTAATGCTCAATGACAGGAGGAAGCAAGATCATTCTGAAGTACGCGGGCAAGGACGCTACGTGAGTCGCAGGCATCCGTCAAGCACCATGCCACGCTTATGTATGGTCAAGTGCCGAGTACGACCCTATTCACCCGCCAAATGCCATCCATGACAACCTGCCGCCTGAGAAGCAGTAAGTTAGCCATTGCTCCATGCGGCTTCCGTTAACGCCTCTCCAGCCTAGGACCTGTCGACCCTGATACCGTGCTCAAGGTTGAGGTCTTGGTCACGGATGAGGAGAAGGGGCGGCAAGAACGGATGCAGCAGCGGCCCCCGCTCACCGAGATACTCAACCTGCACGACTTCGAGGTGCGACGATGATTCAGCTGTGCAGTGGCTATTACTCACCACCCACTCCAACGCAGGCAATTGCGCGGCAGGTGATGACAGAGAAGGCGTGGGCGTATTACAGCTCGGCCGCCGACGACGAAATCACTACTCGTGAGAACCACGCTGCGTACCACAGGTACGATGCTTGCTATGGGGCGGGGTATATGCGCGGGTTACTGATGCTTGAGTGGGTAGGATATGGTTCCGACCGCGCATTCTTCGTAGTGTAACGAACGTGGACTGGTCGACGAAGATCCTTGGACATGCTACCAAGATGCCAATATACATCGTGAGTCGTGCAGCACACGTACTCTGAATATTAAAACTGAGGTTTCTGCTAGACTGCGACAGCACTCGGAAAGCTCGGACACCCGGACGGCGAGCTCAACCTGACAAGAGCTGCGGCGAAACACAACGTCATCCAAATGGTAAGCGGCGCCGACATTATCTTCCTTCGAGCGCACGCTGACACGCCGATCCTCCTTCAATAGATTCCGACTCTGGCATCGTGCTCGTTCGACGAGATCGTCGACAACGCGGCGCCCGGTCAAGTGCAGTTTTTGCAGCTGTACGTCAACTCGGACAGGGAGATTACGAAAAAGTTCGTGCAGCACGCGGAGAGGCGCGGGATCAAGGGCTTGTTCATCACTGTGGATGCGCCCCAGCTTGGACGCCGTGAAAAGGTTGGCCTGAAAGTTCTGGGGTGCGTTCGGGATGGCTCACGTGGATTGACAGGACATGCGCATGAAGTTCGAGGCGGAGGACCCATCAGAGGTTACAGACAACAAGGTATCAGACAAGGTTGATCGGTCACAGGGTGCCGCGAGGGCTATCAGTGTATGTTTTTGTGCATTGGTTATGCCAGTACATGACCTCAACGTGGCGTTCATTCCAGTCCTTCATTGACACAAGTCTCGACTGGAAGGACATTCCGTGGTTCCAGTCGATTACCAAGAGTATGCCCTCATTCTCCTGCACAGCAACCGTATCACTTACAGACATTCTTAGTGCCCATCATCCTGAAGGGCGTGCAATGCTGGGAGGACGCATTATTGGCTTACGATGCGGGCCTCGCGGGCGTTGTGCTCTCGAACCACGGTGGGCGGCAGCTCGAGTTCTCGCGATCTGGCGTGGAGACGCTGGTCGAGGTCGTTCGGGAACTCAAGGCCCGCCGCGGGCTGACGTTCCCGAACGAGAAGTTCCAGCTGTTCGTCGACGGCGGTGTGCGCCGCGCATCGGATGTGCTCAAAGCTATTGCGCTTGGTGCCACAGCGGGTGCGTGCACTTTCGCGTAGTGCGTCGAAGTGTGGGCTGATGGGTTGTGGTTGGCAGTGGGCATTGGCCGGCCGTTCTTGTATGCGTTCTCTTCGTATGGCCAAGACGGTGTCGAGCACGCTCTGCAGATCCTTCACGTACGTCCTGCATAGTTTGCCGTCTGTCCGGTGTGTTGACCAACGCTGTGAAGGACGAGTTCGAGATGAACATGCGGCTGCTGGGTGCTCGCACGATCAAGGAGGTCGTCCCGGAGATGGTCGACGCCGGGTCTATTCACCAGCACATTGTATCCGTGCCCAGTGACAGCTTGTACTTTGGCAACTGTGAGCGTCACCGTGCCCCATCACCAGCAAGTTTCGTGTCCCTGACATATTTTTTTCTTCTTTAGACGAGAGCATGGTGTCAGCACGCCTGAAGTCCAAGATATAATCGAAGTTGGTTACTGGAGCTGGCGTTAATTTGGGTTACAACGCGACACATGTCCTCTACACATGTACTGATATACTACATCTGTTTGTACTTGCGATGTTCGGCACTGTGCACTGTTCGCAGTCGTCAATTGAGCGGCCGACAGAAGTGAGCGGTGCCGGTGAACATTTAACAGAACACACGTGTTAAGTAGCGAATGTGGCGATGACCATAATGTGACGTCATGGTGCACACTACGATCGAGATCTCAGATTCGATTTTGAGCAACCGCATTCAGAATAACACAGTACGGACTGCAGTACAGTGCTCATTAATTAAATGAACAAGCCACGAATCACGGGCTTCACTGGGGAGTATAATACATTGAGTTTGTGAAGAGACACGAACGAACTCGCTCCTAACCTCTAACATCCATCTCCTCTCCTCCCAGTCCCCTCTCCTCCTCTGAGCATCGAGCGACGCATACACTCGGGAAGAAGCTACCACTAGCCCCCGATGGCAAGAATGCCACGCGAGAGATGAAACGATTCCGACAATGTCCCGTAGTGGCGAAGATGCGCATATATGCGCAGGAAACGTGATTTGCGAGCCTATGGCGAGTGCTTTGCGAGTTACTCTTTATCATTGGAAGATATCACAGTAGCAGGGAGCATCTAGGGCCATGCCTACCAACATTGACGTACATGCGTGAGGGCGACAATAATTCAACCGTCCTTCGCAGACTAGGATGCCTCGTGGTGAGCATGTTCGCTGTCTTTCCAAGATGCTTCTACGTCGTGGGAGTATCGTGAAGAATGCTCTTCACTCTCGAAGTCTTTTCTGCCCGAGGGAATAATGGTATCTTTGCAGCGATAGGTGGGATGTCTACATCTTCAGGCGAGGAGTGCTGCATGCACGTGACCCGGACCAGCGACCATCTTGGACATCCAAGGAAAGAATGCCGTGCGTTCGTGGGTGGAAATGGTAAGCGATTGGAAAAAAAGTGGCATACCGTAAAGCAAAGGCCTTCTCACCGCTTTTGAGGTTCGTTATCTACAGCTATTCCTCTCGATAGTCCTGCAAGTTGATCGCTGAGTCCCATCCCGCCACCAGGTTCATCAGTTGGACCTTCCGCATACCGTTCGGATAACGGATTGCGTCGCGCCAATACCCATTATTCGATTTCAGTTCCAGTGGATCCTATCACCGCAATTGAGTATGTCAAGTCATGGTGGAAGCGGGACCGGGCAGAGAGGCGTGCGAGCGTAGCGGGTGGCACGAGGTGGCACAGGTGCTCGGGGTCTGCCGGCCGGCTGAGTGATTTTTGGGTTCGGTGCGTCGCGGCGGTTGCCTCAGTCTTCCAACAGGACAGACACTCCGGACTGCTGCACGACCAGCGTCCGCTTCCTGTGTGCTTTCTTCGATCCTCCATCGCGACATTCGTTCGCCTGCAGGCAGGTCATCTTTCACGACCGACCTTCACGCGAAGAAAAACAAAAAGACCCACCTCGAATCTCCACGCAATCGTCACGGTACGTCTTCGTTTTCATCCCTGACATCCTAACCACACTCACCCTGGGGCCTCGCTCAGAATGAGCAAATCCTCAACAGCAACGGCATCCAAACCATCGTCCCAGCTCCCGTCCAAGTCAGCTTGGGCAAAGGGTCCACCGCAGTCGGCTGCCTCAGCCCCCTCGCCACGTTCCGCATCACCCGCGCCGAACCAGGGCCATCCGCAACCGACGCACTCAAGACGACCAAGCGCCCTAGGCCAGGGCGTAGCATTCAAGGATGGCGTCGCAGGTGCACGAAGCCCGACGAACGTTGTGAAGTCAGGTACGGTACCGTCTATTGTCTCTCGCGACGGTACTGATAGGGTGCCAGCATCTGCTGTAACATTCGGTTCGATAAACGACGTGTCTGCACCGATTTCTTCCTCCCCTGCCTCAGTCCCTATGATTAAGTCGGCGACGGTCTCTTCATTCGGCACTGTCCCAGCGACACCCACCTCCGCCCCGAACGGCAAGTCAGCCGGCTCGTCCACACAACCTCCCACGTCTGCCACGACGCAGCCCAAGTTCGATGTCAAAAAGCTTTTCCAAAACCCGAGCAGCGCGCCGCCCGTATCCAGTGTGCCTTCGCAGGCGCCTTCTGACGTTGCCTCTCCATCAACCCGCCCCTCACCTCTGCCGCACGCCTCACCCTTACCGACACATGCCCAGGCACAGCCATCTCAGATGGGCGCTCACCCATACCCCCATTACGGCGGCGGGCAGCTAAGACCTCAGCAGAATGGCGCACCTCCTCAAGGCGGGCCACCCCGTTCCCCGGTGTTCCCGCGGCAGATACCTAATGGGCAGATGAATGGCGTGAATGGACGACCGAATGGTGGCTCTGCGCCCACGCCTGTGTCGGCGGGCATGTCGAGTCCGCGGCTGGGTCCCCCGCATGGCGGGCAGCCCCCTGCAGGCATGCCACCCACTTCTCAGCCTGTTCCTCCCCCAGGATGGTACGGCGGCTACTACGTGAGTCTCACTATCCCTTTCGCTGACGAATACGCTGAGTAACTTGCTTCCTCGTTCTTCAGTATGGACCATACCCCGGCATGCCAACGGAACATTATATGTCCTACACGCCGTGGATGCAGCCGCACGTCGGCACACCTCACCAACAACCGCAAGGCCTACCTGGTCCGCCCCAGCCTAGTATGTCAATGTCGCCCCGCAACCCCCCTCATCAACTGCACGCCCCTGGCACGCCGACGATGGCGCCCGCCATGCCCAACACGGGTCATCCTCCACATCCCACCCCGTCGCCACACACGCATACATCTTCCCTGTCCTCTGTGTCCTCGCCCCCACCTACACCATCATCTGCCGGACCGGCCAACCGCCTGAATACGCACGCGCCGACATTCCAGCCGCGGATATCCAAGGTGAAGATCACGTCGTCGGATGGTACGGAGGTGCAACTTGACAGCTTCAAGAAGGGCTCTGCTCCGCTCTCGCCTGCCGTACCTCCGTCGCCGGCGAGGAAGACCCAGGTGCGACTGGAGAAGCCTGAGGACAAGGCAAAGCGCTTGGCTGATGAGATGCGAGAGCGTCAGAAGAAGGAAGCGGAGGAGAAGGCGAAGAGGGATGCAGAGGAGAAGGTCAAGCAGCAGGCAGAGGAGAAGATCAAGCAGCAGGCAGAGGAGAAGCTGAAGAAGGAGAGGGAAGCCGAGGAGCGGAGGAAAGCTGAAGAGGATCGTGCACGGAAGGAGAAGGAGAGGGAAGAGGAGGAGCGGAGACGGAAGCAGGAGGAGGAGGCTCGTAAGGAGGCGGAGAAGGCGAAGGAGGAGGAAGAGCGGTTACGCAAGGAGGAAGAGAGGCTCAAGGCTGAGGAGGAGAAGGTCGCTGCGACGGGTGAGACGCCATCAGCTGCAGAGCCGGAGGACGGCGAGCTCGACGAGTCTGAGGCAAACCCCACGCCCGAGGTCATAGAGAAGGAGGCTCAGGAAAAGCCGCAAGACAAGGGAATTCTCAGGATTGACACTGCTGTGGCAGCAGGGGAGACACCCAAGAAGCGGCATCCTGGCCCTCTCGACCTTTCTTCTACTCGCAACCAGTCCATTGCCCAGCCCCTCCCTTCCGCCCTGGCCACCGCGCGGATCATTGAAGATCTTGGCAGCGTGTCGTACCCCGAGGGTATCAAGAGTCCCAAGGTCGAGCTCAACGTGAACGCCAAGCATGGCAAGTTCAGGTGAGTGCTTTCTTGCAGCATGTATATACGCATCACTGACACTGGGTCTCAGGTACGACCGTGACTTCCTCATGCAGTTCATGAAGATCTGCAAGGACAAGCCTGACAACCTCCCGCCACTCGATGCCATCGGTCTCGAGCCCTCTGAGCAGGGTGCTGGTGTCCCGATGAGTCGTGGTGGTTCGCAACGGCGCTCAGCGTCTGCCATGGGCCCGCCGCCTCCGAACTCCGCGCGCCAGTTGCAGGGCCTTGGTCTTTCAAACCTCAATGGTCCGAGTGGCAGCTTCACCATGGGCAAGTTCGCGACGCCGGGCATAAAGACCAGCGAGGATCGTTTCAAAGAGGCGAGCATGGGTCGCTCAGCCTCGATGGCTGGTGGTCCTCCGGGCGTTGGCATGCAGTTTGGCGGGCGACCGTCTCCTATGGTCCGTTCGTCCAGCCAAGGTGGTCCTAGTGCTATGGGCAGCAAGCGTACCAGGAGCAAACGGGGCGTCGACCGTGGTGAGGTGAACAGGGGTGGTCCGGGTCCATCCTTTGGCAGTTCGTCGCTCTCGCAGCCTGGTATGATGTCTCTCGAACCGGTGGCACCGCTCGAGCGCTCTGCAAACCGGTGGCAACCTGCGAGCATTGGCAAGAAGCCGCAGGTCGAATCGGACTCGCCGGACGTCGTCGACCGCAAGGTCCGCGCGCTGCTTAACAAGCTTACGATGGAGCGCTTCGACTCGATCTCTGACCAAATCATCGCATGGGCGAACAAATCAGAAAACGAGCAGGATGGGCGGACACTCATCCAGGTCATCCGACTCGTATTCGAGAAGGCGACAGATGAGGCGAACTGGTCGGAGATGTACGCGCGGCTGTGCCGCAAGATGATGGAGCAGATTAGCCCGAAGGTTCAGGATGAGGGTATCAAGAACGCGGAGGGTAAACCCATTGCGGGTGGTCAACTCTTCCGTAAATATCTCCTCAACCGGTGCCAGGAAGACTTCGAGCACGGATGGGCTGCGAAGGAAAGCACTGCCGCGGCCGCAGCCACCAAGGCCACCGAGGACCGGGCCGCTAAGGACGCCGCTGACAAGGACGAGGATGGCGAGGCTGCACTGTATTCAGAAGAATACTATGCTGCGCAGAAGGCTAAGCGGCAAGGTCTCGGTCTTATCAAGTTCATCGGTGAGCTGTTCAAGCTCCAGATGCTCACGGAGCGTATCATGCACGAATGTGTCAAGAAGCTCTTGGGTAACGTCGAGAATCCCGAGGAGGAGGAGATCGAGAGTCTTTGCAAGCTCCTTGCGACCGTCGGTCAGTCTCTTGACACGCCGAA